CACGTCATAAATTCCTTGAAAACTAGTTTCTTTCTACGAACACCAAATTCTTCTCATAAAGCTAATATTTTTTATTATCTATTTAGTTTAATTACAGTCCGGAATGACATATTTTCATGATTTATATAATTCAAAGTAGCTTACATTATTTATTTTAAAATTTTTAACACATTACAAAAATGACATGATTGATTTATAATTCAAATCACAAAACATATAAATATTCAAAACTGCCGCTTTTTATCTCCCCTCTCTACATATGGGACATATGGAACACTAGCGCCCTCTTATTTTTGTAAGATTCTTGTTTACATGGAGTTCGGGCTCCTTGTATAGTCTCCATGGGTCAAAGGGTCAAATATTAAAAAAAAAAACTAACGAACTAATGACGCATGTCCTGAAATGAACGATTTAATTTTACTTTTTGTTTACTCTTAAATTTTGTGATAAACTGAATGTTGATTTGCAAAACTGATTATATATAAATAAAATATCTAAAATAGTTTCAGTTTTTCGAACATAGAACCCCAGAGGTCGATAGTTGATTGATGATTGTTCCTTTGACCTAAAAAGTTTAAAAATGTTAACCAAAAATGCCATTATGGTATTAGATTTACCAGAAGTAATAAGTAATAAAATCATTTGGTATTGTACAAAATATAAATGTTCTAAAACATAGGCACTGTGTAAGATACCAACTTTTTTGTAATATGTACGTGTATATCAATTTTGATTACGTAGTACCTACTTTTGTAATCGGGCTTTGATAAATACTGAATATGAATAGTTTTATTAAATTCTGTTTTATAAATTTATTCAAATAGGATAAAGCTTATTCTGGGGAACTCATACATTTTAAATAGAATAAACATATTAAAGAACAATAAAAATATTCAAATTATTTTGTAGTTTTGAATCAAATGAATCTTAAATGTAAAAGAAAATAATTCTAAATTTAAATCTATCATAATGTAAGACACATTGTGATAACCACGTTTAAAGTGTGTTTGACTTAATCTTAAGCTACTTAAAGAGACCGGGAGGGAGGAGACCGAAATACGCAGCATAACTAATCATTGCAGAAAACAACTTCTCTGCGGGCTACAGCCCCGCTCATCATTGAATACGCCTCCAATATCTAACAAGCTGCTAAGACCATTTGTCTACAGAATCACCTCACCAGATATGGGCCGATTTCGAATTTATTAATTCCTGTGGGTATGCCATAGGTGAGACGATCCAAATAGGTATTTCGATATCTTAATGGGGAATTTACATAAAAATCCTAATATAGGTTGTGAGTTTTAAAAGTTTTTATTCAAATCGTACATTACCAATATGTGACGTACTAGGACAACATACCAATAGATGATTAGATACACTTTCTGTGTATCTATTGGTAAATAAAAAAGAGAAGGACAGTGGTGTGAGATTTTAGTTGAACCTCCTAATAATAGATGGCACAATTAAGGCATGGTTTACTACGTCACACTTGTCCTCCCAATTCGTTTCAGTTTTAAATTTTCTTAGACTCTAAAATTTAGAGTGACAGTTAAATAAATTATTTCATACAGAAATAAAACAGTCAGAGCAAGATTTTGGTCACATGATTTCATTTTATGGTACCTAATATCTAAAAAGGTGTCAAACACCCATTGTAGTAATGATAATTAAGATATGACATACTTCGTAGGTAGGTTTTCCAAATTTCACCCATGTTTAAAAAATAGTTCAAGAAATCTTCCAGAAGCCATTTCCGCAGTACAATTCCTATACCAAAACTACTAAATCGAACGCTCACGGCCTAGACCTTAGCTCTAATTGCCCATACAGTCCAGCAATGTATGAACCTACGACGAAGTTCCTGAAGAATACAAACTCTTCTAACTTCCAAACACATTAAGTGCTTAAACAAAGCCTACATAAAGACAGTGATAATAGACACAAAAGTAGCAGACTTGCAAGCAATAGTGCATAAGTGCAAAAGAAAGTTCAGTTGAAAGCCTCCCAAGAACAGTGACATCCCAAGGGTGTAAAGTGTGTTGTCGGCGAGTAGGAAAACATCCCAACACCGTAAGCAAAATTAGAGGATTTTGGCAAAACTGTCAAAGAGGAATGGAATTGCAACACCACCTTAATCCGAAACATGGCGCCCAACGTGGGGACTAACATCCGAAATCTCAAGGAATAACAATCATAATCTACGACTATTCCAAGATTTCTGAAATATGACCATTTTGCAAATCAAATTCAGTATTTTATAAATGAAAAATAAATTAATTTCTAAAAAAAGTATAAATAAATAAAAACAAAACAGAATTTTATCGTCTGGTAACCAATTTGTGGTGGTCCGTTTAAATGGATTGCTCCAAAATTACTATAATAGGTAATTAGGCAACTTTTAAATAGAGAACCATAATATTAACAAAAAAATTATTAAGATAATCGCCCAAAATATCCCTGCAGAAAATTTTTCGTAGTATCTTAATTTATTGCCGTGGGTAGGTACCTACTAAATTATACGTCGCACATCCAGTGTAATTGATTTTCTTTATCTGCCTTTATATTTTTCAAAATTTTCCGATACACACGTCTGTGTAAACGACATTAGTTATAAACGTGAGCACAAATGATAAACAAATATACCTGGTACGATGTACCTAGCTGGTAGTAGGTAATTTAATTACAGTATCATGTTATCAGTTTATCTATACAATTAATATATCTCATATAAGAATACATATTTCACGAATAACCTTTGTTGGTGATACACCTTTTATCACAGTTCTCTTCGAGTAACAAGCAATATTTTTGTTTAAGTTATTAATTAGTACCTAGTTTAAAAAATAATCCCGAATTTTAAATCAAGATGGTTAACATGTTTAGTAACAGAGTTATAAAACATATTATGTTTGGATTTAACTTTATTTTTGTGGTAAGTTGAAAGTTTACGTTACCTATATTACTACCTAACGATGAAATTTTTTTTGAGTATGTAATGTTGCAAATTAAAGTAATAGGCAACTACTTTGTTATTACAATCTATAGAATAATTTGTTCATTTAATCTAAGCCGTAATTAAACACCGATAAAGCTTTGTTATTTTTTATTTTATTTGATGACTGATAGGTGGTAGCGACTGATAGTTAGGAGGTACCTTGTTAATATTAAGTTGCAATATTGCAAGAATAAATCTAAGAAGAATAAATAATAATATAATGATTTACTTTATCTTTTATTATTTAATTAAAACATAATCTTTTTATCTGAGGGTAATAAATAAAATTGTCTGAAAATATATTTTGTTTTGCATCTGGTTATTTTTTTCGAAGATGACGAAGTATATTTTATCAGTTGTTATTAATATTAAATTTAATTTTTTTATAGAATGCTGTCAAATGATATTAAAAAACTGACGCAATAAATCACCCTTCATACATTTTTTTTTCTTCTTTTTTTTCAAATAAATTAAGTATAGATAGTTTTGAAACATTAACTGCCTTTTATTTCCTTCTCAAATTTTTTATCAATTAGTAACAATGGCATACTCAGAAAAAAAGTTCTAGAGAAAATATATATATGCTGGGGAAAATAGTTTGTATGTATTACTGATTAGAAATGTTTAGAAAGTATAATCGATTTCACACGTTGACAGGGCATCGTATGTACCTAATTAAGCTTATAATTTTTCCATAGTAGATAATAATAAAATTTTTCTTTATTTTCTTTTAAGTATATTCCAAAACACTTTTTTATATTAATTTTCTTAAGATAAAATAACATGGATCGGCATAATTAAGATCTTAAAAGATTATTTTATACTTGAACCCGATGATAAGAGTACATAGATATAAATTAATTATTGCAGCAATATACATATTTCGATAATTAATCATTAAAGTTTTTTAAATAATGCTTTGGTACGACGTTTCATAAAACAAATTTATACTGATGTATTTCAAAGGCAATCCGGACATTATTTATTTATGGACGTTGATATTTTCGTAAAAGCAACTATTATTTTGACGAAAACTAATCTATACTATACAGGGTGTCCGGAAATTCATGCAACAAAATTTTGTCATAGATTCTTAAGACAAATTCAGGGTACCCGTATTTTTTCTTTTTGCCAACTGCCCCCCTCTTTCGGAGTTACAGCCCCCTGAAATCTGCCCCTGAGAAGTCTTTTTTATATATCAAAACAATGTTGTACGAGAATCTCTAAATTTGGTACACAGGGGTTTTATGACATGGGGAATCTTACAGTACTACGCTTTTTGGTGAGAAACCCCCTTAAGACACTTTTTCGTGGCCCCCTTGTCTTTGGGACCAGAAAAATTTGGTCTCAAATTTGATTTTTTTTATTATTAGTTAGCTAGAAAGCCATTGAATTTAGAAACTTTTTTGTAGCTTGATATTTGTTTCGAAAAACGCAATGTTTTTGAGGAAAATGGCGGATCACGATATGCATTCGATCACATTTTGACATTTTTCTCGAAAACATTGCGTTTTACGAAAAAAGTATAAAGAGACAAAAAGTTTCTAAATTTAATGGATTTCTAGTGGACTGATTTTTCAGAAATTTAAATATGCGACCAATTTTTTTTGGCTCCAAAGACAAGGGGGCCCACGAAAAATTGTCTTAAGGGGGTTCCCCGCCAAAAAACGTAGCACTATCAGATTCCACATGTCATAAAACCCCTGTGTACCAAATTTAGTGATTCTCGTACAATAGGGTTCTGAGATATAAAAAAAGATTATTCTTAGGGGCGGACTTCAGGGGTCTGTAACTCCGAAAGAGGGGGCCACTTGGCAAATATAAAAAATACAGGTCCCCTAAATTTGTCTTAAGAATCTGTGACCAAATTTTGTTGCATGAATTTCGGGACACCCTGTATATATTATACAGGTTGGTCCAGCCCAATTGTTAAATAACTGCTTTTTTTTAATGAATAAAAAAAATCTTTTAAGCAAAAGTTACAATCTGTACGATATTTGTTGAGATGGAATTTCAAGAAGATCCCTGCGGCACTTTCTTGGAATTAACCGCATTAACGGCATTAACAGCCGATGTAGAAAGACATTGGCGGCGTGGCGTTCACCGTAGCAACTTGTAGTTCATACTGTGTTTTGCAGTTAGGAAGGCGTGTTTCTTCGTAAGTGTATCATCCTGTGCATTTTCAGCGTAATTTCTTATTAAAATAAATCATTGGAGGTGAAAAATAAAAGAAAAAAATTTAATTCCCAGTTGAAGACTATCATGTTTAACGTGTATAGGTATTTTAAGGCAGTTTTTCCAAGTGAAGCAAAATTTAGTTCTCCTAAACCACGCAAGAGAATATGTACAAAATCCAGAATAGGATATTAGAAACATGATTTATAATTTTAGCAAAAGGATGTCGAGTTACTCTGACACAATTACAAAGAAAAATTAAGTGCGGAATATGACTTTTCGGGAAAACGTATCTCCCTCTACAGTTTACACCTTTTAAAAAAAAACTTTATTAGAAGTTGTAAAAACTCTGACCGAAAAAGAATCAGTTACCTACTGTCGAAGACTGTATGAAATGTTGCCAACATGTGGTGAAAGTTAAAGATAATTACGGTGGTCTATGATAATTACTTACAAAACGAGATTCGAGTTGATGTGGTAGTGTGGAAGACTTGATTATAGCAGCTTCTGATGGTAATAAGTTCTAGTGATGAGCATGATTTCCAAAATTTATCAGATTAGGGGCTGGAAAATCGTGTTTCTGCCCCTAAGGGGTCATTTTCCCGGTCCCAAACGGGGAATTCCAGTTGGCCATAAACTTTTCGAGCACAGTCTGAGTTCCAGAATTTAAAAGTACATAAAAATACCACTGTTGCGATTGCGACGTCCGAAACACGATTTTCCGTCCCCTAAAGGGTCATTTTCCCGGTCCCAAACGGGGAATTCCAGTTGGCCATAAACTTTTCGAGCACAGTCTGAGTTCCAGAATTTAAAAGTACATAAAAACACCACTGTTGCGATTGCGACGTCCGAAACACGATTTTCCGACCCCTAAGGTGTCATTTTCCCGGCCTCAAACGGGGAATTTCAGTTAGCCATAAATTTTTCGACCACAAATCCGACTTTAGAATGCACCTTCGACCTCGCCTCATCACGGAATCCATCTTTCAGGCCCTATAGAGGCAAGTTTTGGCCCCTGGGGCCAATTCCAGACGTGGAGGGCCATTTCTGAGCTCGGGATCGGATTCAGCGTCGAAAAATACACGTGAATACATATGTCCGACCCACAAGTCCGAACACTTTTTTTTTTGTGGGGCTGTGTTATCTTATTGTCCAATGAAAATATTATTTTCCGCATTGGCCAAACTTTAATTTTTTAAAGATGCTAATACCACTGACGAAAACTTTGTGTCTACCACAACTGATCACTCTTTATGCTATTTGTTATATCAGCTACACTATTAACAAAAAAGTCATTGAATTTTTGTGCTATTTCACTTTCAGATGTAACAGTATAATTTTCATTATTTTCACATAATATTAGTTGACTGAAATCATGACATATATTTGACTTTACTAGTGACTTTTAAGTTTTCCATAACTCTTTAGGGTTGTTTTTGTTATTATCAATTTTATTTTCATAATACATTTTTCTTTGACTTTTAGCATATTTACACATTGATTTCTTACAATTTTATAGTATCCCCACTTATCATTTCTATTTAATTCACTACTTCTCTTAAAACTTCCATAGGCTATATCTCTTTCATTTGCTTTGCTTTTTAATTCACAGTCATGGTATGGGATTTGATTTGCTTTTATTTTTATCATATGCTTGGGTGGAATTTTAACAACAATGCTTGATGTTTTATCTAAAATACAATACTAATACAATACAATACTAAAATACAAGTAAAAATTAACAGTTAATGAGTATGTCCAATGGACATACTATTTGTCCATATTATTTTCCAACAAAATTGTGCACCTCCACATAATGCCCAAATAAACATAAAATCTCTAGGGTTCGTAAAAAACGAAGTTTATTTAACACCACCATATAATATCGATCAGTTGAAAGAGAACTAGTACCGCAATAAATAATATTGCATATAATGTTAAATTAAATGCAATTAGAAGTGTACTTCGAAGATGCGAATTACGTATGGAAACAGTTTGAACAGTTCTTTTAAATTTCACTATTCATTTTACATTTTTTGTTTGAATTTAATATTGTACAATTTTTTGTTTATTAATATTAATAATTACTGTCTTAAATTTGCTTCAAGTTTACTAAACTTTCTTCTGTTAGGAAAAATTCTATTAAGATAAAGTTGTTGAAAACATACAAATTTCATATGGTCGGAAAAAAAATCTATCAAAGCATGCAAAAACATTTATATTATATAATCCCAAATATATATATTTTACAGGGTGTCCAAAAATGGGTAACCGAGTAGCTCGGGTCTTTATAATCTGCTTCAAAATCAGTTTGATATTTTTAATTGTAGTATAGCCATAATTAAGAAAGTTACATTTACAAATTAAATTATATTTGTTTTACATTTATCTACTGTTTTGTCTAATTGTTTTTAGGTATGTAATGTTTTGTATTGTTACTTATATCATGTAGTGTATGATGTAGTTTTCTGTTTGCACCTACCCTGTAGGTAATTGGAATTTCTGTAGGTTAGTATATTGTCTAAATAAATAAATAAATAAATAAATAATCAAACAGACTGACAAAGTACAAGGTAGGTCACAGGATATTAAGTTTTACTTACCACTGAGGTGTTGAAATGATTATTTAGTTGGTATTAGAATTATTACAACATTACCTTGTTGAAAGATTACTCAGACAAGTGGGTTAAATATATAAGAGTTAGGTACTTATAAGAAAGTATTATTTTATATTTTACGTCGGTAGAACGTGCACGTCGTAAGTTTTTATCGGAAAACGCAGAATTATGAAACAAAATCGTTATTAAAAAATATTCAAAATGTTCAACATTGCATATCCTGTGCAGTAGTCGACGAAGAACGACAAAAAGTGATCGCAACATGCTCTAGTGCAAATGCACTAACTGCACTATAAAAATAGAAGAAATTTTTGCCTTAGAAATTTATTCCATTTTCTAACAACAAAGCGGTTATGGAACAAAGGAACTTGGCTGGGACACACTATATGATGAACTTTGATCATACTATTCATTGTTACAGATAACAGGAATCATCATATTGGCTGTGGGAGCATCAGTAAAAGCATACTACTATCCCTACGAGACATTTTTAGACGATAGATACTTTTCACTACCAAATATGTTGATTGCTACAGGCTCATTAATCTTTTTTATTTCTTTCTTGGGATGCTACGGTGCGATGAGGGAAAATTGGGTGATATTAATGATTGTAAGTATCTCAGCTTGTTAAAGTAACTGATTTGTTTCAGGTTTCACACAGTTTCAGGTAATAAATATATGTACAAACAAACAGGGTGTAAGTTGAATCTTTGCTTAAACGGTTTAACTTGTGACAAGCAGACACGTGACATGTAACTTACCATGGTTTTTAGGGTTGTTATACTCTGTTTTCACCATGGTTATGCCTGCACTTCCTTAGCCTTAACTAGGCTTGCCTTTGGAAGCACTGGATGCGGTCGGTAACTGAGGCCACTACGAAGAGTATCATTGTCTGAGAAGCCATAAAACCGGAATCAATATCAAGGTGGATTTAGGGATTCTGATAGCGGCTCCGCCCCCACAGATCATAGCCCGAGAGCAAGGTCAGGACATAACTTTGTATCTAAGGCTAAGGAAGTGCCATGTCAGTCTATAACTGCCAGCGATAAGGAATAGAGGCCATGGCATAACAATTCAAAAAACTATAGTACTTTAACAACAGGAATGAAAGTTTAAAAAAATTCACATTTATGTAAATACAGGGTGAGTCGTTAAATAAGAAAAAACACAAATGTTGTAATCTTCATGTGTTTTCAATTATAGCGTAATTACAAATTTTAAAAATTTGAAATCAAAATATGTCATGTTCATAGTTCAAAAGTAGGATTTTATGTTGCCATAGTTTAACATTTGTTTACACGTTTGCACGATCAAAGTGTTACTGACTTATTCGAATTTAGAGTATGCAAATATGGTGTTTGGTTATTAGTCCGAGCGAATTAGGTTTTTTTTTTTCAAAAATCGGGCCTACGTCGAATTTTATTGGCTTAAAAATAAGTAAAAAATACACAGAATAAAAGCCTAAATTTGTATATTTGTAGAGGTTGAGCCATATTGTTTATAACAAAAGAAAAAAAATAATTGCTCTTTTTTCAGTTTGGTAGAATTGAATGTAACAGTTCTTTTAAATACTATAAAATACAGTACTTAAATGTAATGTTGATATTGTAACATTTAATAATATTCTAGGCACAATTTACGCAATAACAGATAATAGACAATAACAGACAATATTTTATACGTCGACCTTTTCTGAGCACGCAAATACTGATCACTTTTTTCCAAGAAATAATTGACTTTTGGTTTTAAATATGTAAAAAGATCTTCTTGTGAAAATATCGAAAGCATAATTATAAAAGAAAACGTGAAAAGTCAATAAATATGTATTTTTCGGGGTCTGGCGATGACTTTCACAGACTTTTGCCTACACCATTCGAAAGAGCGGAAAAAAAATAAGTTGATTTAAAAAAAGTATTTCGGTAGCTGCTTTTTAATTGCCACAATCCATTTGTTAAGTAAGAATTTTGTGAAGCCGAGCGCAGCAAGGGCACTATGACGTCACAGCGCTCCCCTCTCCTGGCTACCGCGGGCCGCGCGCGGATCTCGCTGCCTTTAACGAATGTTTACTTGGTCATTTCTTGGTCGAATCGTTTCAAAAAAATTCAGCGTATAAAGGAAGTATTCTACTTTATAACGAGCCCAAATTTATTATAAAATATGAAATACAACAGGCAGAATACCGTTTTTAAGAAAAAAAAAAAATATCTCGGCTCCTATTGGTCGGATCGAGACGCTTTTTTTTAAATTCATGTTTTTTTAAGCACTATTTGATGTAATTGGTTTAAAATTTGTATATTAAAAAATCGCCAAGAAAAGGACCTTAGTTACGGTTTCTTTTTGGTTTTTTGTTAATAATCTTTTTATTTTGCATCTTAAAAATTTGAAATTTACACAGACGCGAGATAATGTAATTACCTTTCGATTCTTTTATGCCGAATTTCGATATCTTCACTTGGGCACTCGCGTTTTCGACTTTATAATTTTGCAATAGGCCGCCATTTTGAAATTGGGAGTCCGAATTGCGGGTATTCGTTGAGCAACAGTTATCTTTTCCTGTAGTTTCATCCAATTTCAGTCAAATTCGTTCTTTTTATTTAATGCTGAAAATTTTGCACATTTTATTTTTTTCACCTCTAATTTTGCAATGTAAAAAAAAATTTGCGAGCTTTCTCAAATGCCTATCCTTGTAGCAAAGGATAAGGAACAAAATCGGTAAGTATACCTCATGCCGATTAGAGTCTTATTTTCGGAGATATAAGCGAAAATCCGAAAAAAGTGCAATTTTTTTTTCTTTTGTTATAAACAATATGACGCTCGACTTCTACAAATACACAAATTTAGGCTTTTAATCTGTGTATTTTTTACTTAATTTTAAGCCCATAAAATTCGACGTAGGCCCGATTTTTGAAACAGGCATGTGTTTGGTCTAATTCGCCCGGATCATATGGTTTTTGTAATGGAAATGCTAGTACTGCTGTTGAAGAATATCGTTAACGGTTTCCACGTTACAGGTCCTGATAGAAATGTATTTATCAGAGTTTTCAACAAACTGTGCGAAACCGGAAAGCTTCCCAGTTCTAGTTTAACATCTGAACGAGGTCATCGATGGAAGGTTTAGAAGAAATAGAAAATATTCTTGTTCTATTAGAGATGATGGAACTACCAGCTCACGAAGGATTGCTTCCCAATTGGGCATTCCACAAAAAAAGGGTAATAAAACCCTCGACGAGCAAGGCTTATATCCGTACCATGCAAAAGGTACAACACCTACAACCGGAAGATTATGCTAAGTATATCGAGTCCCTTCGATGGATCAATAATGATCATCTTATATCCCGTATACTTTTTACGGATGAAGCAACATGATCGATAGTTATTTAATTGTTCTTTTCATTTTGGAGAATCGTCCCTCAAGAGACCACTTTTTTTACAAAATGAACTGCAAGTGCTACTAGAGGATGTTCCTATAAACATCAGAATGCGAATGTACCAGCAGCACGATGGAGCTCCTGCACATTTCGCTATCTAGTGAAGCTACATTTGAACCAGAGGTTTCCAGGTAATTGGATTGGCCGCACTGGTCCTATTAGTTGGCCTCCAAGATTTCCAAACCGCACAGCACTAGATTACTGTTTATGGGGCTGGTAAAAAAATTAAGTGTACAAAGTTAGAGTGAACACTCGGATGGCATTAATTCGACGTATCATCAATACCTCACACTTATTAAAGAAGACATGCAGCAATCAGAGCTACAGGCGACCTTCGTAGACAAAGCGTTTAGAGGTCAATGGGTTTTTGAACATTTAATCAAAGAACGCCATGACTAATAGAATATTAATAAATTCATGTTTTTTATTGAAATGTACATCATAGCTTGAAAACAAATGAAAATTGTATAACAACATAAGAGTTTTTTCTTATTATTTTGACATGTAGAATCCATTCCTAGAGTTTGGTGCGATTCTCCCAACTCACCCTGTATATTGGAAGATGTTTGATGTAGGCTCCTGAAACTTTAAATGACAGTTAAGAAAAGTTAAAAATTCATTGAACTATCACTAAAAATCTCTTCTTGATTGTGTTTTCGTTGTGAATATGCATCATTTTTTTTATTAAACTAAAATCAACGTAACATACAGTTGAATAAACTGACAGAAACAGTATTTAAAAGATAAAAATATGTATAAATTATAATTGGAAATTAAAATTTAGATTATTTTTAGAAAAGTTAAAATTTGTATGTCAATGCCTTTTTGAACTTTCGACTTCTACTTATTTAAAATTGTATTTATTACAAAATAGGCCATAGACCCTTTCTATGAAACCGGTAGTTTTTTGGTTACTATAAAATTTTTTCAAACCTCAGAAATTAGAATTTTTTTTAATAAAATGTAACAAAATTTTTCTTAGAAAACAAAAACGAATCAGAAACTTGATCACATTCCAAAATATTAAGTGGCAGCATCAGAATTTTGGATTTCTTAGTGCCCTCTCTCAGGATTTGCGCCATTGGTTAACATAATTATAATACAAATTTAGTGAATTTTTACATTTACATAGTTATACCAGTAACTCAATTTTTATGGGCATACATCTAACATCTTTTTTGAGCAAGTATCTTTCAAAAATTAAGCCAATTAGAATATAGATTCATACAAACCTTTCTTCTTAAAATTTTCCAAGTAATTATTTTCTGAAAAAAGTCAGGATATTCAGGGTGTCCCGTAATTCCACGTAAATATGGAAGTAGTATTCTATGGCCTATTTTAGAAGGGGTCTTGTCTTTTTTTTCGATTTAAGCCCTCCCTGCAGAGATATTCGCGTTTGTGGGGTGAACCAAAAATTCGGTTTTCATTTTTTTTCAAAAACGGCTTAACCTAAAATTTTTAAATTCGGTACGTATGTTCTGCTGATGGAACGACGTTTTAGCAATAAATTTTTATTTGCATCCTTCACTTCGAAGTGGTTGAAATAAGCAACCCTTCCTGATGTTTTGGTCAGAACTTTTTTCTAGATGGCTATGGATCATAATTAAAATTACGGTTTTGTGGCCCTATGATTTTATGTTTTCTTGCTCTTTCAATTTTTTCAAACAATTAATACTTTCTGTGTAAAAAAAATATGTTTTATCAATTACCACCCTTTCAAACTTGAAATGGTAATAAATAAAAAACACATATCAGGCGTGCGTCATTTTAATGCTTAATAATTTAAACTAAAACTCAAAAAGTACATAAGATATAAATAAAAAAATACTACACCATATTATGTTCATATTGTGTTCACCATATTGTGCCATAGAATACGGGACACCCTGTATAATAACAGTCCTGAAAAGTACAGACATTATTTACTAAATACTAAATATTAAATTTGCAAAGGTATAAAGCGGCCTTTGGGATAATTATAAACATTTTAAGTTACATATATTTTTTCCAGTTCATATTTTTATGTTTCTTGTTATGAATTTCTTCCATATTACAAATTATACATATAATAAGAATATAAACCGGACAGAGAAACTAAATTAGCTTAAATTTATGATAATAAACATTTTATTATTATACAGATTTGCAAAATATACGGTGTGTTTCATTTCAAATAAATACA